AAGAGAGAAAGAAAGAGAAAGGGGAGAGAATTTTTAAAAAGAAGTTTGGATGTGAAGATCATATGTTCATTCATAATATTATACAGTAGTCTCCGCCTAAGATCCCGGTGCTCGGGAGCAAGGAAATGCAGGATCTCAGGCGAACCGGGATCTTAACCGACGAACCCAGGGAAGAATGGTATGATTGTTAGAAAGAGGATGGAGGGTGAGAGAGTATGGTATGATTATGAAAAAGAGGATGGAGAGAGAGAGTATGGTATGATTGTGAGAAAGAGGATGGAGAGTGAGAGAGTATGGTATGATTGTGAGAAGAGGATGGAGAGTGAGAGAGTATGGTTTGGATGTAAGCCAACAACCTCTGTATAAGTATAAGTGGAGGGCAACAGTGCGGACCATGGATGTGTCTGTTTGCGTAGAATGAACTGGAAATGTTCAGCGGTAGATCTAGCCCTGCACATTTCAGTCCATTGTATATGTGGGGAGTCTGTGGTCGTGGGAAGACACATTCTGTGGAACTCGGATTTAACAAGCTCGGATTCAACGAGAACTCGGATTCAACGAGATGAGACCGATTCCCCGTTTTTTTTCTTCTTTAAAATCAATAAAAGTAACCCAGATTCAACGAGCACTTAAATCAGTTAGCTCGGATTCAACGAGGTTGCTTCCAGGGTGAACAGCCACCGCAGACGTGGCTTTACTAATTTTTCTCCTAGAACGAACTTTATCTATTCCCGGAAACCATCCATTGCACCTGCATCGTGAACCATTATTCACTTACCTGATTGCATGCGACCAATCAGCGGCCTTTTAAAATACCAACACATGTGTTGTTGACACGCGCACGTGTCTACTCTGGCGTGTGTCGGTGTTGGGTTGGCAGCCTGCACACGTGTGGTTGTGTGTATGTGTCGGGGAGACGGGGCACTAGCGGTCCGGGCATTGAACGTCGATATACAAACGCGTCATGGTCTTTTTTTTCCCTCGGCAACTGATCATTATTACAATAATAAGCTAGTCTTAACGTAAATCTACGTAATGAATTGTGGGCTGGTCTATGGAATCAAAAGTTGCTGTATGCTAGGCTCTACACAGCAACACAACTTTTTGGTAAACAATCGAGAGAACACAGGCGGTTGTATTTGAACGAATCGGTCTTTTGTTTTTACACTGCTCAAAATATGTAGGCCTTTCAGGCACTACTTGTGACTTCTCTTGTAGGCTACATTACTTGCTCAGTGCTTATAATTATCTACACAAAACCTCGTGTTTGCTATAACGAACACTCGGATTCAACGAGATTTTAGGTCAGGCCCGGTGACCTTGTTGAGTTCCACTGTATCTGGTATTGTTGTCACATGTGTCAGTGTGCTTTCACTTCATTAGAGCTAACGCGAAATTCTTTTGCAGTTGCGAGCGCTGTAAATTGTAAAAAATTCTTTACTAAACTCCCAAGGGATTACACATGACTAGACGGCTTGCTGGCATTTTGCAAAGTTAAGTCGAACTCAAGTTGTACAGCAGTAGAGAGTGGACAATGGTGGAGAAAAAGAATAGGAAAGGATTCTCCATCGAGCAAAAACAGTTGATCCTATAGCAGAGGTGGATAAAAAAAAATATTTTTAAAAAATTAGCCAAAAACCCACATCTGTCATGTTGGCATGGAGTAGGGGACATAATTCATGTAAAATTTTGATCCAATCAGATAACTTGGCTGATCTCCCTTCACATTATACCTATAATTCGTTCATGTATCAAAATTTGTGCATTACATTAATTACAATGAATCGAAAAACTCCTGCATCCCACCAATTTCGCTAGACAGTAGTTTTAAAAAACCCCACCAAAAACAAACAGAACAAAACAACCCCCCC